AGGACTGGTGTTCGGATCGGGTGCATTATCCGCTGATTTTGTGTTGTTATCCTACCGACTGCGCCATTGTGGTAACTCTCCATCTTTATCCACTGGCGTTCGTTCGCAGCAAGAGTCGTCGAATCAATCCTCTTCGTTGCTAGTCAATCCCCTCGTCACGTCCAATTTCTATCTCAACACACTCACACAGTTAATTCAGTTCTCAGGCATACAGCCAAATCCTACTTACACTACTACTACTACTACTACAAATGTCACTTACACGATGTCACTTTTCATTCGCGTGACGAAGCAAGAAATAAACTCGCACTAACACCAATACACACTCTGCCTCTGTTCTTAGAGCACGCCACTCAAGCAAAGGGGAAGAGAAAGAACTATAGATCAGTGCACGGTCCCTAACCTCACTTTTTGCTCCCTATCATTTTGCTTCTGAGTAAAAGAGATAGCAACGAATGGGAGCCAAAACAAACCACCCAAAACTGTCAAAACTTACGGGTGAGAGAAGAGTGCGGCAAATCTTCGTGAACTGATCAATACTCGTTTCGACTTTTCACCTTGGTGGGTTCCACTCAATGAGGTTAATATAGAGGTATGGTTAAGTATTAACCCGGAGGCTGAAAATAGCCCAAGTTTCTTTCAACATGCTATATTTTATTCTCACCCGTTCATTTAGTTATAATAAGTTTTAATTACGGCACCTCATCTCATCTCCCACACCATCCAAACCATTTGTGGAATTGTTCTATCATTTGGGTTGTCGTTCGGGTGTGGTGTTTTTATTAGGGTTTATAGCTGAGTGTGCCCGGCCTTGCTCGGGTTTCAATATTAGCTTGAGGTTATGCGCCAATTAAAAAAAAGCATGCTATATTGTACGTAGCCCCCCTTCCCTCCCCCTCTTATCTAAGGGGCTACCCCTTATGATTTTCACATGCCAAATTCGGTTCAATTTGCTTGATTAGTTCTCGAACCCCTGCATACAAATTTTCACGCCGATCGTTTCAGTAGTTTAGGAGTCTATAAGGGTCAGACAGACAGACAGACGTGGCTTTGAAGGCGGCGATCCAGACGTTTCCGGACATGGCCCGGATGGTGCTGCAGAAATGTCTGGACGAGGGTCAGTTCCCTGATAGGTGGAAGGTACAAAAGCATGTGCTATTGCCGAAGCCCGGAAAACCGCCGGGGGATCCTGCATCGTATAGGCCAATATGCTTGCTGGATACTGTCGGAAAGCTCTTGGAGAGGATCATCCTGAACAGGCTGACGAAATGCACGGAGAGTGAACACAGGTTGTCGGAGAGGCAGTTCGGATTCCGGAGTGGGAGATCGACGATGGATGCAATTCGAACAGTGATCGACAGAGCCGAGAAAGCTTCCAAACAGAAGCAGAGAGATGCGCCGTGGTTACGATTGATGTGAAGAATGTATTCAATAGAGCCAGCTGGGAGGCCATCGCCAAGGCGCTGCATAGAATGAGGGTTCCAGAATACCTATGCAGGATTCAAAGTAGTTACTTCCGGGACCTGGTCTACGCGTCAGACACGGGGCAGAAATCGCTTAGAATCACGGCGGGAGTTCCACAAGGCTCCATTTAAGATCCCAAGCTGTGGAACGGAATGTACAATGGCGTGCTGACACTCAAGCTGCCCAAAGGAGTTGAAATCGTTGGCTTTGCGTACGATGTCGTCTTGACGGTAACCGGTGAGACGCTGGAAGAAGTGGAAATACTGGCGGCTGAGGCGATAGATACCATTGGTAACTGGATACAAGGAGCGAAGCTGCAGATAGCCCACCACAAAACAGAAGTGATGTTGGTCAGTAACTGTAAAGCAGTGCAGCGGGCATAAATCACCGTTGGAGAGCACACAATTGTTTCGAAGCGCGTGCTGAAGTATCTAGGAGTGATGATCGACAACCGGCTAAACTTTAACAGCCACATCGAATATGCTTGCGAAAAGGCGGTGAAAGTCATCAACGCAATAGCCAAAATCATGCCGAACAATTCTGGTCCAAGCAGCAGCAAGAGGCGTCTTCTGGCTAATGTGTCCTCATCGATACTAAGGTACGGAGGTCCAGCCTGGATTGAAGCGCTGAAAACGAAGCAGAACCAAAGGAAATTGAGCAGTACATGCGAGTTGTGAGTGCGTAGAGAACCATTTCGATGGAGGCAGTATGCATTATCGCCGGTATGATCCCAATCAGCATCATCCTTGGCTGTGCGCAGCCAAATCACGTCAACTTGAAATCAATTGGCATTGATACTTTGTTGATTGAAAAAAAAATTATTCAGCCAAATTGTCACATTGTAGATCTCCTTTAATTTGAAACCATTGAAGCACGCCTCATCAAAAACAACTTCTAACACAACGGTAACGATAGTGTCGGCAAGGTATCTTTAAACATTAAAATTAAGAGGATTTGCCGTAAGCTTCAATTAAGAATATTCATGGACTTCAATCTTGCATGAAGCACATATCTCCAAAATCTGGATATCTCGATCAGTGGTGGCACGAGTATTGGAGTATAACGTTTTTTCGTTGACATTTGATGCTTTGTGCAATGACCATAGAGAAGACACACAAACACAACTGGCAAGCGGAAAAAATGTCTGGTCACTTCTAAACTGTTTTCTGCAGGCGACATAACATTATCGCACAATGAAGCAGACAAATCAGCGGCGCGTGCGACATACATTTATGTCATACATTGTAGCATTTATGTGATGTTTATTGCATGGATTTAATTATATAAGAATGAATACTAACCACTCATAAGCATAGATTTTAAAAATATGCTTAAATAAGTGAGTTGATAATTTACTGTCACCCGCAAGCTTGCAGCTAAAATGTAATTTAAATAAACTGTTTGAAAAATATTGGGCTATTTACGACATTTTTCCTACTCTCTATCTCCGTCGTTTGCTTCAAATTTCAATAAATTAAAACAGTTCTATATAGAGATTTCTAGGTCTTCGTCATTTTCTTCTTCTTCTTCGCTTTTCAAGCTTATTGCTAATCGCATATTAGTTTATTGCGTGCTTTCAACTTAGTGTTCTAGATGCACTTTCACAGTTATTAATTGAGAGCTTTCGATGCCTGTACCATTTTTGCATTAGTATAATTGTGAGGCAAGTACAATTATACCATATGCCCAGGGAAGTCGAGATATTTTCCAACACGAAAAATTCCTAGACCGGACCGGGAGTCGAACCCGGATACCTCCAGGATGATCTTCCTTTGTAGCTGCGCCGAACCTTAAAATTGTATCATGAAATTCCTTGAAACTCTCATAAAAACTTCCTCCCTCTCCAAAATTTCTTAAGAGATCTCTTCAGAGCTCAATTATTTTAGATTTTTTCATAGTATCCTTTTAGTTTATCCACATAACTGGATGTATGTTTGCGCAAAAAGTCCTTATAAATTCTCATCAGAAGACCATAAACTTCTCCTTAAAATTCGCCTGATATTCTAATCACAATCAAAGTGATCAAAATATTGAAATATCCTAGATTCAAGTATCTATCACTGCCTCAGTATCTTGAAAATTTTCTAAAATCTTACTATCTTTAAGAAGCAGTGCAGACAGGATTAACTTGTTATTAGAAAAAAAATCATATAAAAGTGCCCATCTTGCACAATAAATTATTCATTCTAAAAACAATATTTCAAAATTTATATATTTTTTTAATTGAGGAATATTTCTTATAGAGGAAATGGATGTAATGTCGGCCTAAATGTCCCTAATTTGGGTCCATACATAAACTCAGCAATCGACTAAATTTTCAATAGCGACCAAAAATAGCCATTAGCAGGCATGGAAAATCATTTACACTCATTTCATGCATTCATTTACATTCATTTGCCTCTAACTTTTTTCATCAACAGCATTCCGCAAAACGATGTATGGACCTTTAGTAGGTTTTATTATTAGCTACAACTTTTGTTCATAACTCAAATCTGTATCTCTTATGCATCACGAATTAGAGCGAGCTGAACTTGTTACTGTTTTCTAGTGAATGTAAAATACATTCACTGAAAAACAGTAGTGGCTTCTGTTCGCTCTTATTCGTCATGCGTAAGAGATACGGATTTGAAATGGTAACAAAATTTGTAGCTAATAACAAAACCTATAAAAGCTTTGAACATTATTTTGCGGATTTCTGTTGATGAAAAAAGTTAGAGGCAAATGAATGTAAATGAATGCACGAAATGAATGCAAATGATTTTCCATGCCTGGCCATTAGTACCGTCACAATGACGCGTCCATCTAGATAAAATTGATAAATAGCAGATTTTTAGCGATGGGCCCAATCTTAGATCCATAGGCCAACATTAGAGCCATTTCCCCTATATGGTTTGAGAAAGTTCAGTCAATTTTCTGCAATTCACGCATTTTAAATTTGAGTAGGTCTCATCATTTTTTAGTTATATTGCAAGCATTTAAAAAAATTTCTCCCATACTTCACCATGAAAAAAATTTGAAACCCTTTCGATCATTTCGAAGTCTAGCTGTCGCCACGAGGGGCAACTTTTGATCACCAATAGTATTATGGGCGATGCACAATCAATTTTAACAGTTCTGATCTGTCCGAAAAATGCAACTCTTTCAACTATTTCATCATCCAGGTCCAGTCCTGATCAGTAATAGATTAACATTGTACATTATGCCTACGCATCAAATTTCAATCCATGTGAATATTGAAACAAAGCGTCATAGGCAGAGCAATGCAACAACAGAACATACACCCCCCGACTCTGGAGTGAATGACCTACATACAATTTGCCGTTGTTTACTACGCCACTTTCGCCGAAGCGTACCACGACGCATCACCATTCCATTTCATTGTTATTCATCAATCGCCGAAGGAAGGAAACTTTGATCGGAAACTACGCAGATCAAGTTTCAACCAGATCACACGTTCAACTAGCTGATGATGGTGACCCAGACGCATACTGTAACTAATGTTTTTACTGATGATAAATGAAGAACAGAGTACTTACAAAGCCACAGTTTGATAGTACCGCCTGAATAATACCGGCCACGAAGACGGCACAATTCAGGGAACCCTTATCTTTCGGCACGCTGATAAATTTGTTGACCAGTGGCTCCTTCTCGATGATGTAGTATGTGCATTCGTCATCGGTTGCATGCTCCAGTTTGTCAGCATCCTTTCCGAACAAAGTCTGCAATGATGCAATGGGGTAAATGACGCTATTTTACACGACAATCATGTTCAATGACCTACCTTCCACAATGTTGTTTTAATAAAGAGTAACATGTTAATTAGTTTAGTTTCACGTTTGGAATTGCGTTCCCTCACAAAATACAAGTCGATAATCCTACAGCCAACATCTTTTCCTAGATCGTGTAACCTGAAAAGTGGAGAAACAGTTGGAATACAATAGTGCAAAACTTTAATTCGGGAAAGCATACTTATTCTGCAAATCTGGAATGGTATTGACGCGACTTTGAGAATACTGGACCACTTCCGAAAATAGCAGCGCATAGCAGCTCAGTGAAACTTCCCCCTTGCCACGACTCAAGGGCTTATCCAGGATGCTTATCTTCGGGCGTGTCGAAAGGTTTAGATTGATTTTCTCCATCACTACGGCGAATTACGGGTTTTCAACTTAACTATCTTAGGAATTCTCTCAAAAATATTCGTTTGTTTACGATCTACGTTAGGAATTATTTTTATCACTGAATTTTGACAGAAAAACACGGCATCGAAAGAGAATGAAATTTACCTGCGGGGAAAGTTTATCTCACTCTCATGATTTGCTCAGTTCTCCCAACGAATGAAGTGAACAACGACGATGCCTTCAACGAGTCCTCTTGTGGCAGGTTCTATAAGCAAACGCGATTGAGTCACCTATCAGCAGTATTGACGTCTTGAAGTGAAACTTTCGCTGTCTACATTTCGAAGTGAGAACTGTTATATGGATAATGACACAGAGAACAGACGTCAAACTTTGGTCAGAAACTTGTGTAAAGGTAAGTGGGAACGTCACCGTTTCGTGGCGCTAGCATCTTCTGATTTCCTCTATAATTTTTCCACTTTCGACCAATTTGGCACTTATCGATAAATGTTCTGTTGGAAATTTCTACTTTGCGCTACCAGCACTTAGTGCCTAGTGTAAATTGTGCAACACCAGCGCCATCAGGTTGTCAAAGAGGGTTTTTAAGTGGGGAAGTCGCCGTTAGTGGCACTTAAGTCGAATAGGAATCTTTACACTAGTTTTTAGAGAAATTTTGTTCGAGTCTCAACCACAGAGAACAGACGTTGAGGTTCGAACCAAAGTTCTCTAAAAACTAGTGTAAAGATTCCTATTCGACTAAAGCACCACTAACGGCGACTTCCACACTTAAAAAACCTCTTTGACAACCTGATGGCGCTGGCGTTTCAAAAGTTATACTAGACACTAAGTGCTGGTAGCGCCGAGTGGTAATTTTCAACAGAAAATTTATCGATACTAGCGCCAAATTGGTCGAAAGTGGAAAATTTATAGAGCAAATAAGGAGATGCTAGCACTACGTATCGGCGACGTTCCCACTTATCTTTACACAATTTTCTGGTGGAAGTTGGACGTCTGTTTTCTGTGCCTCAACGTATGTTCTCTGTGTTTTCACTGAGATGAAAGCAAGGTTGCAAATACTCATTTCAGCTAAAACAATGTTTTTCTAAATTATGAAATAATTAGATGCCATGATCAAATTTTGAATTGGTAGGATACAAGAAGAGGTTGCAAAGAATGTGTTTGACATATTAAACCTGTTTATTTCACTTCATGAGAGTCACAATCAGCGATTTTTCACAAACTCACTCACTCACTCACTCACTCACTCACTCAGCGATCAGCAAATCGCTGATTGTGACTCATAGAAAGCAAAATTTACAGGTTTTATGTTTCCAACGCATACTTTGTAACCTCTTCTTGTAAGTTACAAGTAAAACATGCCATCATACCATCTTTTGGTTTTATTATTCCGAAAAACATTATTTTAGCTGAAATGAGTCTTTGCAACCTTGGATGAAAGAGGAAACTGAGTGCATTTACAAAGGAAAGCTTTTATCACAGGCAAACAGACATAAAACTTGCAAGTTGTTCATCGAACAATTTAAAAGTGTCGTAGTTGGTAGTACGACCACCTGTGGTGCGCATAGTCAATTCCCTTGCGTTTGACACACTACCGCCAACAGTAAAAAAAAATTTGCCGAGATTTGCACAGCCGCATGTTTTTGCCGAGATTTGCTGTGCATTGACGCCGTTCAAAATATTAAATTCTCCCTGGAATTCTGTTGGAATTGAATCACAGAGAACAGACGTCCAACTTCGGTCAGAAACTTGTGTAAAGATAAGTGGGAACGTCACCGTTACGTGGCGCTAGCATCGCATGATTTCCTCTATAAATTTTCCACTTTCGACCCATTTGGCACTTATCGATAAATTTTCTGTTGAAAATTTCCACTTGACGCTACCAGCACTGATGCTCTGAACCATTTGTCGGATTTTTTCAACTTTTGGTTAAAATTTAGCAGATCAAAAGTTATCGATTAACCCTGCTATCCGAGCGTGGTTATTTCTGACAGACAAGAAGTTAAATTTTGACAACCGTGGCTGAGTTCTGCTCGAAAACCGATCGATCGGTAACACATTGATTTTCGAACATAACAAATAACTTTCGAAATGTCACTTTTAACCACGAGTTAAATTAAAATCGGCAAATGGTTCACAGCCTTAGTGTCTAGGGTAAATTGTGCAATGTCAGCGCCATCAGGTTGTCAAAGAGGGGTTTTAAGTAGGGAAGTTGCCGTTAGTGGCGCTTAAGTCGAATAGGAATCTTTACCCTAGTTTTTAGAGAAATGTTGTTCGAGCCTCAACGTCTGTTTTCTGTGGTCAAGGAGAGTTTAATTTGGTTCCGAGGGGGGTGACATATCTAAATCTCAAGTTTAGATGCTCAACAAATCTCACACTAACGAATCTATCTTCGAAAAATCTTCTTTCATTTGCCGCATCTACTTGCATCGCTCATCATCTTTTTGCAGGAAATCTTCAGAATCGTCATCAATCTTCTTTCTATCTACTCAGCGTGCGCGCAGCTAGCCACAGGAAAACACAATCTTTTTTGCATCGTAGATAGAGTCATCCCCCTCGTTTGGTTCTTTAATTTAGAAAAATATATCGGTTTTTATATATCATCTGAAAGAGCTTCGTTTTCTGAGCATAGCGATATTTTTTTTTCGAGCCCACACGCTTTCATCTCGATTTTTAAATCAAGATTTAAAGCAAAATAATAACCTCACTGTTTGACACTAAACTGACAAACTGAAAGCTCGCTCCCATACAAAGTGACACCGAGGGGCGCTAATAAGGAGATTTTTGCAAATGTAATCGTACTTATTTAAAATAGTTCCAGTGTACCAAAATTGATGAAATTTCCATTTTTAATGAAGATTACGAATATGCATTTACCTCAATACAAAGAACCCAATTAGTAGTAGTTTTGAGTTGAATTGAAGTTTTGAATTGAAATGAAGTTAAAACTCACAACATCTGAGAATAGCATCATGCGAGTTTTGAGCAGAATTGGACAGACTAAAAAAAAAGGAATTTTGAGACATTAGGCATTTTGAAAAATTTAGATAGAATTCTGAAAATAATTCTGAGAATGGTAAAGAAAATGTTCTGATGTGAGAACAAGGAAACCCTGACAAAAACTCCAAGTTCATCTTGAAAGGAGTTAAAAAAGAATTCTATTAAGGCTGTGTTCCATTTGGTGAATTTTCACTTAAATTTGACACTTCGAAAATAAATTAAGATGTTCGAAAATCCCTCTGTTGTTGATCTTCCTATTTTCGAGAAGGTGTTGTCAAAATTGATTCCTGGTCTGTTTCAAAGGAATTATAAGGCAAATTAAAATTCATAGGATAGATTCTTGCGAATCACAAGGAAGATTCCAACAGACTTCCAAGAAGAATATCAAAGAACTTTTGGAAACATTCCAAGCAGAGTTAACCCGTAGCATTAACCAGATTTAAATAAAATGCTCCATTTGCAAAATAAAAGCATTTTAAGATTGCACTCGTATACCTCACCGGGTAAAATTTTGAAACCATCATCACTCTCAAACGGCGCCGGTGGTGTAGTGGTAAGCGTGATTACCTCTCACCCCAGCAGGCCTGGGTTCAATCCCAGTCGACGCCACCTGGATGTTCTGAGGCATAACATCTCTGATCACGCCTTCCTTCGGATGGGAAGTAAAGCCGTTGGTCCCCGGTTCATGAGTTGATGGGTCGATAGGTACACACAAAAAACAAATATTGTAGCTCTAAAAATTATGCAATTTTATATTGAAAGTTTCGCAGATTTCGTAGTTTTAACTACGAAAATATTCAAAACGAAAGTTTTTTTTTTCGTTCAAAAGTTTTTCTTTCACTTTCGACTTGTAATTTTAAAAGTGGATTTTTTTAAATAAAAATTGTATAACTGTCAAAAATACCTCTTAATTGCAAAGTTTTGGCAGCACTGCACCTTAGTTTTCTGCTAAAGTAAACAAGACGTAGCAGTGAGCAGCAGGAGTGCTTCCACTTGTCCAAATTTTTCTTCCGCCGGTTTATCTATGTCATTGGAATCGATTCCTGCTACTAGCAGAGCGGTACACCACAACTCGAGCCACCACTAATTTCAACAAATTTCAAGTGTCATAGCAACCAACGAAATAAGCTCAGTGTGCCTGAATGATCAGCGAGCAAGGGTTCCGCAAGTGTGACGTCCGGCTCGAACAAACATGCATTCTGATCCTGACAATTGGAACTGCTTATGGATCAACGCCACGAAATAGCTTCTGGAAATGTCGAAAGGTGCAATAAGTAGAAAAGATTGTAAAACCCTCACCGTCAGGAAATAAAACAGTTTTTGTTGTATTTTTGCAGAAAAAAAACGAGCTTATTTCAACGGAAAAGGTAGGTTGTGAATCGGGAAGCGTACACGGCTAACAAGCTGCTGATTCAGCCACGCTTGAGGCAGGAAGAAAATTCTCCGATGTACAACCCAATTGAGAAGCATACCAGGACGTTTATGCTAAGAAACTCGACTTCGAGCGAATCAGTCCGTAGAAAGGAAATCTTTGGAGGATTCCAAGGCCACTGCACCGACGCTTTAGGAAACCGGGTGGACGAAATGGTCCCAATAGAGGATGTCCGCAGCATCAGCTGATGAGATCAAATTCTTTCGGATAAGTCAGACGGATGACCAGAGCAGCTTAGTCCGGAACCAGATAACGGAATCCAGTTTTAATGTAAATAAAATATATTTAGTAATAAATCATTTGAATAGTAATAATTTTTAATGTAATACAAATTAGGTCTTAAAATGAAAATTATACTGTAAAAATTAAAATACTTGTTTTTAAATTGAAAATATATATTTTTACGATCCGAAATACCATTCTTTCGTATTAAAAGTTGTTTTAATTAAAAATATCTAATCCGCTTTTAATTTCAACACTCCCACGCTTTCCATTTGACAGTACAACAATTCATTTTGAAAGTTTTAATTTTTAAAAGTAGGGAGCAAACAACTTTTGAATTAACAGTTGACTGAGTTTTGTTTTGAATGCTGAAGACTTTCTACCAAAAAGAACCAACGCAAACTTTTAATTTCACCAATGCTTTTTTTAATTTTATTAACGATAATTTTTTGTGTGAGGGTCCAGGTGTGGGAGCTGCCTTCCTGGCACGTCGGTAGCATTGGTGCTGAGCACGGAAAACAAGATCGACGGAAAAAACAAACCAAAGGAAAAAAAATCATCACACTCATAGTTCTTCTATTCTCCACGAGTACCAACTTTGATTTGCCAATTGATAACATACGTTTTAGCGAATTTGAGAGAATTAAACTCAAATTTGTGTTGGTTTAGTGGGCCGTGCACATGCTGCTAGCGAAGCAGGCACGGCACACAGCAAATTAATCCAGCTCAAGTCCCGTTTCACTCAAATTCACAAATAACGTATAGGTCATTCAGCTACTCGATAGACGTATTGCGCATTTTACACCAAGTTGGACTAAAAAGCGCGTTTTTATAATTTTAAAGTGTGATAAAAGTTACGTTTACGTGTAATCGTTTTGGTATCTTCGGTGCACTTATTCCTTATGATTCAAATAACTCTAAAGACCTCAAGACAATTTGACCTACATGTGCACTTTTATCACACTTTTTATTTTTGGAACAGTTTAATTTTGGATGCAAGCAGCAATATAATTTGAATTTTTATTTGTTTTCTTAGGTTTCGTTTAGATCTATACATTTCAACTTTTCTAACCCCGTATGCATAACCAAAATTTAAAAAAAATACTTTATTCTATTTTAAAAATATTCTCCCATACATCGTGTAAAATTATGAAACCATCATAATTTTTCAAGTTCTCCGATTCGCCACTAGCAGCGCTTTATGTTATCGTTAGATCGCCAATTGTATTACCATTTTGTTTTCAATTATAAGTATTATTGTATATGCAGAGTAGAAAAGTGTTAAAACTCTTAAAAACTATCCAGGTGCTTACGGACAGCCACCCATCGCACTTGACTAACTTAGGAGCTGTTTATAAGCTTCGTTTCTATGAAATGTTTAACCCCATTCATGCAAATGTTTGCATATTTACGAGCATATTTAGCAGTTTGGCGAGAAGCACATAGAGTGTCGAACGTCTTTTTAATTCGATTCCAACGAGGATTCCAAGGTCTAGGTCTCTTTCTAGTGATGCATAAACATTTTTAAAATATCCAATTGTTGATGTTAAACTAATGCGCGCCTGGTGACAGGAATAAAGGGCTGTTCATAAACTACGTAGACAGTTTAGGGGGGGGGGGGGGGGGTTGACAATTATCCACGGCCCATACAAATTTTAAAATTTTTGTATGAGCAATTGTTTACGCAGGGGGAGGGGGGTCAAGAATCCTAAAAAACTGTCTACGTAGTTTATGAACAGGCCCTAAGCACTATCCGACGGTGATCAGCTAGTGACAGCCCTTGGAAGTTTCATTATTTTTATGGAAATTTGTTAAATTACAATGCTAGTTCGTGTAAATATGATATTAAAATAAATGAATCTTGTACAAAACCTAAAAAACTATTGCGATATGTGCCGATCCTAAAATAAAAATTACTAGTTTTCAAATAAAATTTAAAAAAACATGATGAGGTTATGGACATGGTTATGTTAACTGCCATACCACATCGATTAATGTTGATATGGAGACGTGACCAACCAAATCAAATAAAAATTGAAAAGAGCCCCTTGTAAAATGTATTCCAATAACAGGCATCCGAAACGGCACCGGTGGTGTAGTGGTAAGCGTGATTACCTCTCACCCCAGCAGGCCTGGGTTCAATCCCAGTCAGCGCCGCCGGGATGTTCTGAGGCATAACATCTCTGATCACGCCTTCCTTCGGATGGGAAGTAAAGCCGTTGGTCCCCGGTTCATGAGTTGATGGGTCGATAGGTAGGGTCCAGGTGTGGGAGCTGCCTTCCTGGCACGTCGGTAGCATTGGTGCTCAGCACGGAAAACAATATCGACGGAAAAAGCAAACCAAAGGAAAAAAAAAAAAACAGGCATCCGATGCTGGTTATTGGTTTAATACGGTAGGATTGTTTTCGGATCTGATTTGCAACCATCGATTGAAGCATGTAGGAATTTCGTTGGTTTTACGATTTGTATTTTATTTAAATGCTATTTCAATAATTTAGCACTTAAATATCTAATTCTACTTACCAGAGAGATGCTACTTATGCCAGAGAAGAAAGGGTTTCCGCTCGGTTATATTCCTGGTGATCAGGCAAACTATCCAATGCCGTCTGCGATACAGGCGCTTTTGGTACTGCCTTTATTGTCTCGCTCGTCTGAATCTACCAAACCAGGCGTGATTACCTCCTAATGGTTTCGCAGCGGATGCAGCTCTAAGAAAGATGATGTTCCTGCGGATGGAACAATATATTGTTTTGATTGCTTCAATATGTAAAATTGTTCTAACAACTCACCTCAAACAGCAAAATTAATTGATTTAATTCAATTTCCGATGGGATGATCCTTCAGTATTGCATTCTCAGTTTGAATACTGCAAGAACATTGTTAACATTATTTGTTGATGTTTTGCTGGGAGCAACCTATTTTTCATTTTGAAGAAATCTCAATGATTTTGCATTTAAAAATTAGGATTTACTTACCATTCTTACCGGCGCTACTTTTCTGTTCATATTTGCTTTCTGTTATTGAATAAATCAATTACAATAATACGTAAAACATAGTTTTCTTATCACAGACTTGAAAATATATGCAGTTTGACAGATGATCACAAGTTCATCACCGCTATGATTCCAGCGCCGCGGTGGCCGGCATAAACTTGGATTTGTCAATACTGTGTTACTGCTGGGAAGGTTAAGCCAAAGATGAATACTAAGATGAAACTGTCGGAAGAAAAACTTTCAATTTTAGTGACCTCTTTCACGGTCCCTTTCATCCAATGAATACCCCCAGTATGCAAGGTAATTTTGTGGTTTTGCTGCCCCCTCGGTAGAGATGAAATTTTGCGCGCTTTTTTATCAAAACAATCACACCAAAATCAGAGATGTCCCAATTTTTAATTACTCGATTAACAACTAATCGATTATTTTTTGTTCGCTGTGCAGTCATTTTTCCACCAATGAGAGTGCAAAACTTGTTTGAAACGATCGGTGATGATCCTCTGCAGAAGTTAATGCTTATATCGGCATGATATAACCGATTACAAATATGTTACTGTTTGGTTCGTTAGTCGATTAATCGATTATTCGAATGAAAATCGGCCATCACTAGATGAATGCGAAACGTCATTTAAAATATTAAGGACCGTACATAAATAATGATACAATTTGAAAGGGACCGGGGCTAATCACAAATTACGCCCCCACGGTAACTGAAATACACACGAGTGTTCACCGGTGGTTAAGCCGTTCATAATCCTAATTGAAGTTCTTTTGTGTTCCACATCTTTGCCATAAAAAAACACCGCAGGTAAATTATTATTCATTCTTTTTTCTTTTTTATTTATTAGAATTATAAATATTTGCTTTTTACAAATATCATTTCTTTGATCTCTCATTTAGTTTTCTGTACTCTGTATTCTTCTTTTTTATTATTATGTATCTTCCATATTTCATTAAATATATTAAAACATATGAAAATCATAAAGTTCATAATTTTCCGGTTTGTATATCTCTCTCTTTTTTCGTAAGTGTCAAGTAGTTAGCTTCATCCAAATGTACTTCCATCGTCACTGATGTTAGTTAAAACTTTCCGTCAATGTGTTTTTCATCGTCCAAAAACTAACGAAAGTTGCACAAAAACATAAATGACAATCAAATAAGTTCAACTCGACCTTGTTCTGTTTTCTGTTTTTTTCTTGTTTTCCTATAAATATATGACGTGAATAAATAAATACAACAGAAGTAGTTTAATGCTGCCTAAAGTTGGTTTTGGTTTTTGTTTTCGCGATTAATTGTAGTGAAACGCAAACGATTGTTTCCATTATCATTCTCTCTGATCTGTATCGCGTCCCAAGAAGAGTTGTATGTCTACATTTTGCCTATCATTTTCGTGAATGATGTCTACGATAATTTCTATTGTATGCTTTCATTTATTATGTCTGTTTATTTCCATTTGTGTGTGTGTATTACAAAATTTGATTTTCTTGGATGGGAACTGAAATGAAATCTTTTGAAAACGAACATAACGGTACCTTGCATGGTTATCTTGAACATATTGCATGAGATCTATTCCGACAAAATGAAATCAAAATGTTTCATAAAGGTTAATTTTGGTACGATGCTCGGTTTGTCTGGTTTGTCTTCAATGCAAGTTACACATAAGTATTTTTGTTTTCGTAATAAGTTTATGTCTCCTTGCTCTCGTATTGATTTATTAGTTGTTTTGAATATATTTTTTATTCTCAATTTTATGTATTTTCTTTAAATGTTTCCATTAGTCTTTAATAACTTGTAAGACTTTCTGTTACGCTAAAACATAGATGTGTGTGTGTGTGTGTGTGTTTGTGTGTTGGTGTGTGTGAGAGTTTTTTTGTGTGGATGTAGAATGTATTTTGTTCATTTGTTAAACATTGTGTCACTATTGTTCTCGTTTGTGTTCGACAATGATTATGTAAAAGGTCATGTTTGACAATCGCAGAGCCCATTGCGACTGTCACGCCGACCTTTTATTATTAGCGATTGTGTACCCCTTCGAACATAAACACAGGTCTTCTGGGACCTGACCGATAGTATATATATATATTTAAATTAATTACAACGTTACTTATTTCTCCACTGATTTTAGAAACGATGGCTTTGCTTGCTCAGGTTTCCCTTGGTAGATTGAAATGACTCTAAACCGAGTGCACGTAGTAGCAGTATTGTGGAACGTCTGATCGAGGAAGGCATCCATATGGCACAGAATGGTTACGGGTGCAACGAAAGTGCACCTTCCAATGACAATTTCATTCGAAGTAAATTTAAAGAATGCTCGGAATGCCTTATCGCATCAAAGGTTCCTTCTGATACAGAAGTACAATTCGCTATTGAAGGTGCAATCGATATAGTTCGTTTCAAAAATACTGAAATCGTTGAGCACAGCTCACGATCCTCAGTTGGGAAACTTGGAAAGTCAGCTTTTGGTTTTACAAGATTCCTGCTATACTGGTTAGATTTATGCACTAATGAATCTTAAAGTAGAGTTCGTCTCCTTAAACTGCTCAGTTTTATGTACCTTTTTTACTGTTATTATAATATACACTGTTATATATTATCTAAATACATAACTATAGCGTTAATATTTTACTTTCTTAATCATATACTTTTTTATCCGCTGCGTTTCATTCGATAAATCAAAATGGATAAAACTAGTAAATATTCAACAAATTCATAAACGTTGAACTAATGTTTCATCTCTTTTCTTAGTATTTGTTTCCGAAACAATTTAAACAGTCATATACTATAATAGTTGAACGTTTTAAATTTCACCTTTTCTCACCATTCTGACTCCTCAAAGAGAGCTGCTCAAAATAATAAAATCTCAAACAACGATTCTTATGCGCTAGTAATTCGTAAAAAAAATTCTCTCTCGCTCTTTCTACCAATTATAATAATGTACACGTCGTCTACCGACATCATCTAAACGTTATTTGAACTAAACAGTAATACCTCGAAAAAAGAAATAAAACTAGGAAGAAACAAAATAACTGCTTCCCTTGTTTCAATATAGCACACATTTTATTTGTTTGTTCATTTCATGCTACAATAACAAAACAAGAATAGATTATTTTTTTGCATGTTAGCATTTTTCGTCTCTCGTCAGCACCAACCATAAATTTTATGGTTGATTAAATTATAATTCTTTTGCGTTAGCGTAACCCTTCACGTTTTATTTCGACAGTTTATTACGAAACTACTTAGCTTTTGTTTGCTGCCACTGTTATTCTTGTTGTTGTTGTTTTTGTTGTTGCTGTTGTTGCTGCTTTCATTTTCTTTTTTGCGCACATTTGAATTATCTGATTGTTGTGTTATTATTAAAGATTTGATTACCTTTCCCACGTCATACGTCTCTACGGGCCTACGAGTCTCAAAGCAAGCGACTCTGGCTTCAGTTGTTTTGATTTTGCTAATTCTTTTTATTTTTTTTTTTTTTTGGTTTCAGCTATAGATTTATAGACATCAACGAATGTTTGTGTATCTGTGTGTTTTACTTGATTCCACTCTCTACATGTAGCGATTTTTTCGTTTAATTTATTGTTTTTTTCGTTTAATTTGTTGTGTAACCGAATGTTTTTTTTTGTTTTTCTATCTCATTTTGCATTTGGTTTCATGCTAGTTCTTAATTTCTTCCTTGTATTCGCTCTATTTCCCTATCGCTTTGGTAGAATTTCCGATTTTAACGTTTCCATGTTGCCTTTGTTATTTATTTTTCGTTTGAATTTTATGTTGCTGCACTATTTTCCTTGTTTCCTAGTTGCTATTCAGAACAGGTGTTGAGAGTTGCTCAAAGACTATCTGTGAAAGAAATAGCAGGGAATGATTGTTAGTTTAATAGCTAAAACATTGTAAAAGGCATTCAAACATTGGAATATCTGTTTAAAAGTAAATTTGGACGCAGATTTCAATGTACCACCGCACCGCTACGGAACATGCATTAAGTACGTCCATTTTGGTCAAATCAATCGCACATTTGCAAACCCTCTCCTCCTTTCGAGCGTGGAGTACTTAATTGATTCTGTTGCGTGAAAACGCATTGGCTCACCCCTCACCAAGAACATCGCATGAGTCTAAGTGCACTATAGTCTATATAGTGAGTGCTTTTTGTTTATAGGTAATGAGATACCGTGCTTTCGCTTTGATAACAACCTAAAGAGAAGTGATATGGTAATTGATTAGAAGCGAAAGCACGGGCGTAGTAAATAAGTAACTCGACAGTGAGCATGCATAAGGGCCTATACGCGATGATCGATTCTCTTCGTCGATTTTCTCTTTTGTTAATAACTCGCTAGATTTAACGTTTCTCGGTGCGTCTGCTGTTGCTTTTGATAGCCAATACAACCTGTTACTACTCTGCATTGAACAAATTCTAGAACATTGTTTCGCTTAGCTGTAGCAATGCAAAGAGAAAATCGATGAAGAGAATCGATCATCGCGTATTCGCCCTTATGCATGCTCACTGTCGAACTAATTGCGTTACTTCTTCTTCTTCTTTCCTTTATTTAACGTCGGTCTCTGTTCCGCAATCTAGTGCCAATCACCGACGGACATCGATTGCCATCCATTGACGGCAATCGAATGTGCAGGAAGGCAGCTTCCACACCTGCGTAGGATATCGCACCCATTCAACACACATGGGCCGGGACCAACGGCTTTACTTCCCTTATTGTCAACTAAAAGCTCCGTTTTAAAACGAAATAAATTAAATAGGGTCTCCATTGCGTTTAGTTTAGTTTTCTTTATTAACGAGACTTTCAGTTTTTGGCCACGCCTCCATTACGACTAATAAGCAGTCTGCAGGCGATACTGCCACCATACATTTCAAGCTTATATTTGAGCTTAGAATTGGGCAGATAAACAATTATAAGAGACGTAAGGAGAGAAAAAAAGTAAATCTGGCCGCACGGCCTACTAATTCATTTTTTTCTGCAAGGTTTGGCAACCCGCAATTTTGTGTTTACTTCGAGTGACTTTTAATTTGAGTAACTGTCGTCCCCCTATTCAAGGCCATAGAAGCAAAGAAGAATACTAAGGCTGTGTTCCATTTGGTGAATTTTCACTTAAATTTGAGGGATGAAAATTTTTCAAATAAATGCTATTGAACAAGACTTATTTCTGACGGGCCAGGAATCAATTTTAGCAAACACCTCCTTGAAAATCAAAGATCAACAAGCGAGTCAACAATAGAGGGATTTTCAAACATCGTAATTTGTTTCCAAAGTGTCAAATTTAAGTGAAAATTCACCAAATAGAACACAGCTTAAGCAGAGTCAATGTTATAATAACAGTCTCGCCTAGGGAGAAGCCAGAAGTACCAATCGAACTGTCAAGCGGAGTACCAAACAAGCAAAGTAAATAAACATTATTGTTCCCACAGCCAGTGAACTACAAGTATTGCATTCATTACTGCAATATTTTAGTAATTTTAGATGAAACCATTTCTCCGCTTTACTTAATACTTGTGTATTTATAAGTTATAGGTGAAATGGATGTAATGTCGGCCTAAATTCCCTAATTTTAAGCGATGGGCCCAATCTTAGATCCATGGGCCAACATTAGTGCCATTTCCCCTACCAAGCACTTGTTTGAACATTTGTCAGGTTCTATAATTGTTTTTGTCTACCAGAAGCTCCGTTATCGCCATGATACAGTTCGTTTATGGTATTTGTTTATACGCCTTTTTAATGCACCATCAACGTAGAGTGAGCCACGCGATTTCGAGAAGAAACGTCAACCAAACCGTTTGTTTACATCAGAAGAACTATTTTTCACAGCGCAAATTAAAGCATTTTTCATTCAACATCTTGCCAATTTCTATCGGTAATTGTCTTATTGTACGATTTTCCACAGATCTGAACTGATTTGTACCTTAACTATCCACACACACACATCCGGAAGATCATAATCACTAAGGCACTGTTCTAATTTTCCATTTTTCGCAACAAAAATATTCCTGTACACCAGCAGGATCTTTGCAAAAACGTTACAGAATTGAATTTTTCAACTGTAGATTAAGTTTTGGAGCATCTCAGATGAATCAATTTATCAGGAAATGTAAAAAAGTGTTCCGTTTCCTATGTCTCAAGGCAAACATTTTTGCTCACAACACTCTTTTTGACGTTCTTCTATTCATCACCAGAGGTTGAATCGATCGTTTAGTTTCTATTAAAAAGGCCTATTAGGGTGTTATATTATATTTCTGGATAATTTTTTTTTCTTATTTTTTTTTTATTATTATTTTATTTTTTATTTTTTTTTTGTTTTCCTTACGCATATTTTTTTTGTTTATGTCGAAATCTGTTGCGGAGGTACTTAAGACCCCGCAATGGATGAAACAAATGATGGCGGGGGTATTTCGCTAGCAGATATCTCCGATGATGAGTCTGTTGAATCTCCATCATTCGAAAATCTGCTTCTCACTGAAGAGAAAATGGATACCTCAGGGGACTCTACTTCGGACCCCAAAACGAGCACTGGAGCTTACCCAAAGGTGATGTCTAAACAACAGCCTCCTGCACCCCCTGCCCCCCCATCTCCACCATCGCCCCCTCGTCCACCTGTTCCCCCTACTCCAACCGTTCCCTTAAAAATTTCTGCGACCCCCCGCCATAAAGCTTACCCAAGTGGCTCAAAAGGTCCGTGGGTTGTTTTTTTCCGGCCCAAACAAAAACCTTTGAATATTTCTCGGATTTCGAAGGATCTGACAAAACATTTTTCGGCCGTAACCGATATATTTAAGGTGACGCCAAACAAATTGCGCGTTACCGTTGATGACCTGAAACAGGCAAACCGGATTGTTGCCTATGAGCTTTTTACGATGGAATATCGAGTCTACATCCCCAGTTGTGACGTAGAAATTGAAGGAGTGGTCACCGAATCGAGTCTGACTTGTGAGGATTTCCTGCAAGTCGAATCCTTCGGCATTTTCAAAAACCGTGCCCTCCCGAAAGTCAAGATACTGGATTGCATCCAAATGCAATCAGTGTCTCTCATTGGCACGAAAAAAACGTACTCTCTGTCAGACTCGTTCCGTGTGACCTTTTCAGGATCGGTGCTACCTGACTACGTCGTAATTGGGAAGGTTCGACTGCCTGTACGCTTGTTTGTACCGCGGGTAATGAACTGCTCAAAATGCAAGCAACTTGGTCACACCGCTGACTTCTGCTCCAACAAACCGAGCTGCGATCAATGCGGCGAGCTGCATGCAGATGGTCCTTGCCGGGCTACCCCAAAATGTGTTTACTGCAAGGATACTCTGCATGCTTTGGTTGATTGCCCGAAGTACAAACAGCAGGGAGAAAAACTTAAGCGGTCTTTGCAAGCTCGCTCCAAGAGGTCACTTGCAGAACTCTTAAAAAACACCGCTTCATCTTCCCAAACCACCCCAAAAACCAAAAACACATACTCCATTTTGCCAGATGATGATCAGGGCTCTGACTCAGAGGTTGGTGAAGGTAGTCCCTTTGTCTTTAAAGGCAACACGAGAAAGCGATTAAAAAAAACGTCACTCAAAATCCGCGTAAGACCTCTCGTATGGACTCCCAACCTACCTTGACAAATTTAAGAGGTAGCGGAAATGTACCGAAACCCCCACCACCGGGATTTAAATCTTGTAATTTTAACAAGGACTTTCCGCCACTTCCGGGATCATCTAAAACCCCAGATATCCCAGTTTTTCAGCCAGAAAAACAGCTGAATAATCAGCAAGAACATGATGCCATGTTCACGTTTTCTGGAATTGTGGAGAGCATCTTCAATATATTCAACGTCCCTGACTCAACTCGGAACATTATTAATTTAGTGCTTCCATTCGTGAAAACTCTTTTGAAGCAACTAGCTTCTAGGTGGTTCTTCCTTGCATCGATCATATCCTTTGATGGATAATTTTCCGAATGAGGTCGGGGATATGATCTCTGTTCTTCAGTGGAACTGTAGAAGTCTTATACCGCAACTTGACACATTCAAATTTTTAGTTCACAACTCACTTTGTGATGCATTTGCTCTTTGTGAAACATGGCTTTCTTCAGACACCGATCTCCCTTTCCACGATTTTAACATTATTCGCCTTGATCGAGCAGATTCGTATGGAGGGGTGCTTCTCGGATTAATAAGCTCCATTCCTTTCATAGAATCGATCTGCCTTCCGTGACAGGCATTGAAGTTGTCGCATGTCAGGTAAATATTCGAGGTAAAAGCCTCAGTATTGCCTCAGTATATCTTCCTCCAAGAACTGCGATTTCTCGCCAAGGTCACTCAGATATCTGCTCAGCTTTATCTGAGCCTCGGTTGATATTAGGAGATTTTAACTCCCACGGTACAGGCTGGGGGGAACTGTACGATGACAACCGCTCAACCCTGATATACGACCTTTGCGATAACTTCAATATGACAATTCTAAACACTGGGGAAGTAACACGAGTGGCCAAACCTCCAGCAAGAGAAAGTAGATTAGACCTCTCCCTCAGTTCGAGTTCACTATCGTTGGATTGCTCGTGGAAAGTAATTCAAGATCCCTACGGTAGTGACCACTTGCCAATCAAAATTTCTATTACCAATGTTTCATCTTCCACTCGCTCGGTTGACATCGCTTACGACCTCACGAAAAACATCGACTGGCAAAAATTTGCGTCCGCGGTTCTCGGTGGTACTGATTCGGTTGAGATACTCCCTCCGCTGGATGAGTACTCCTTTTTATCGCGACTTATCGTTGACTGCGCTCTTCAAGCACAGACGAAACGCGTTCCGGGTGTTTTCGTTCGCAAACGACCTCTCACTCCGTGGTGGGATAAGGATTGCAC